GAGAGAGAGAGAGAGAGAGAGAGAGAGAGAGAATAACTAAGCGGACAAATGTTTAAAGTTTATAGAAATTTTAAAGTATCCCCTCTAGCCAGTTGCAGTTGTGCATACCTGTAATCCCATCTACTTCAGAAACTGAAGCATGGAGGACAAAGCAAACACAAAAAGAACTAGAGATATAGTTTAGTGGTAGAGAATTCCTGGATTCAATCCCCAGCATAAATAAATAAATAAATGTCCCCTCTGGTTCCTATCTCACAAGATAAAAGACTGTAGGTCCCAGAACTTTGGCAGCACAGCTATCTTCACCTGAATTTTCTATAGTTGCCGATTCTGGTAGTTGCATATTACACAAAATCCTATTTTAATTCTTTATACAATTACTATCAAAATCTAATTAAATGAATCCTTTTAACACATTCCCCTCACCTTTTCTTCTCTGGTTCTATCATGTGACCTACAATAGGTATAGTCACTGTTCTGATCAATTAAACCAGGGTCTCCTGTTTGTTTTGAAAACAGGAAAACTTCTGCAAAGGTACCATAAAAGGAATGAGGTCAGTAGGTGTTTGGGTTGAATTTTTTAAAATACAGGAATATCAAATTAATTATTTTTTGAACAATCTAAGAAAATATCCTTCAAAAAAAGGCTTTTTTTTTTTTTTTGTAGTACTACAGATCGAACCCAGGGGTGCTCTACCACTGAGCCACATCCTCAGCTACGTTTTATTATTTGCTTGCTTGTTTTTAATTTTGAGACAGGATCTCACTAAGTTGCCCAGGTTGGGTCTCAAACTTGGGTTCCTCCTGTCTTAGCTTCCTGAAGAGCAGGGACACAAGAGTGTGCCATCATGCCCAGCTAAATAAAGAAATTCAAAGTAACAGCATGCATGTACAATTTTTAAGGTTTAAAAGTGAACTTGCTGGTAGGAAAATGCATGTTTTAGTTACTGAATGGAGTGATTTAAGGAGGATGTTGCACAGAAAGTTACTTGCATTATTACTAACATTATTGTCTTCATTTTCTGAAGGTGATTTTAAAGATCGAGCTGAGATGATAGATTTCAGTATACGAATCAAAAATGTGACAAGAAGTGATGCTGGGAAATATCGTTGTGAAGTTAGTGCCCCATCAGAGCAAGGCCAAAACCTGGAAGAGGATACAGTCACTCTGGAAGTACTAGGTAATATGCATGTGTATGTGTGTGACTCTTGTCACCCACTTCCATCCTCATCCCTCCAGCTCTAGGGGCAATGACACTGGTCCTCGAACATACTAACATTAACTGGGAGTCACAGCCAGTAAAGTTACAGGATCTCAACAAGGTGGTCTGGGCTGTTTTTTCCTAACACCTGGTTGGTTGCTGAAATTTCATTATTATTAACTCATTTATCACAAAACTTCTTTTGGTTTAATAAAGATAATTCCTAAAGTCCTACTCTGTATGTGGGAGCATATTTCCCATGACTTTTTCAATAGCTTTCAGTATTTGTGCTATTTCTGTTACCATCTAAAGTGATATCACATGATATTATGGAAAAGCAATAGAACAAACAAAAAAAGTAAATCAAGGGAAGAATTGGAAGTGGTTTGGTAAAGGAACAAAATTAGCTTTTATTTTGCAGCTAATATGTAGTAGGTCCTTTCATGAATGTGATTTTATTTAATCTTCACTGACAACCTGATTTTTATAGATGAGGAAATAGAAGTTAAATGATTGCCCAAGTGTCACACAGTTTTAAATAAGTGTCTGGACTAGGATTTGGATTCAGATGGGGTTAACTCCATAGCCAGGATGTTTGATTAGTATGAGAATCACTGGTACACATTATTAGCTCATAACAGTGCTTTGTAGAGGAATAGATCATTGGTGTTAGCATAAGCTACCAAGTAAAGGAAATTAAATAACTCCTTTTCCTTTTTTTAATGTTGCTCAGGTTCCTCCTGAAATACTAGTGATATGCAAGTAGAGAGAAATTTTAATTCAGAAAACCTTGCAGTAGATTCAGTCTGTATATTCATTTTCTACTGCTGTGTAACAAAATATTGCAAATTCAACAGATCAAAAGAACGCTCTTTTTTTTTTAAGTTCATAGTTCTATAGATCAGAAATCCAGTAACAGGGCTGGGTTCTGCTCAAGGTTATCAAAATGCTGAAATCAAAGTGCTGGATGGGCTGAATTTTTGCCTTGAAGCTCTGAGAAAAATCCATTTCCAAACTCATTCTTGGTGTTAGTTAATTTTATTTCCTTGTGGTATAGATCCCCCTCTATGCTAGTTATCAGCTGGGGGCCTCACTCAATTCTTAAGGCCACCTATACTCCTTGCCACTTGGTCCTTTTTGTTTTCAGTGCAGCAAAAGCCTGTTGAATCCTTCTTGTGCTTTACATCTCTGGCTTTCCCTTATGTAACTAGGAAGAGAAAGCTCTCTGACTTTCAAGAGCTTCTGTGATTAGGTCAAAGCCATCTATGAAATCTCCGTATCTTAAAGACCACATATACTTGGGACCTTAGTTACATCTACAGAATCCCTCCACAGTAGTACCTACATTAGGATTTGACTAAATAACTGAGAGAATGTGTATGTACCCCTAAAGACAGGGATCCTGGGGGACCATCTTAGAATTCAGCCTATTTTAGTTAGTTCTGGGTTTTCCTGGATATTGGGTCACCTAATAAAGTCTGTTTTACTTTCCAAGTTTCAGAGATCAGAATAACCCTAATTCCAGGAGTTGGTATTTTCTAACTTGGTCAATTATAGATAGAATAGGATTTTTGTTTGGTACCAGGCCTGAAAAAATACCTTTATATCTGACTTCTTTTGAATATAGTTGGTAATAAACATTAAATCACTGGTGAGGAAAACAGAAGAGATTATTTATCTAAAAATGAATAGTTATTGAATTAGATAACGCTTTCTTTTATGACAAATGAGCCCTGAGCTCTGAGTGACTTAACAGAATTAAAGTTTCTTTCTCACATAAGTAAAGCTTAAATGATTGGGGAAGGGGTGGTGGTGTTGCCAATTACTCTACTTCATGAGTAATTACAGACTCAGATGAATGTAGGTCTGGCATCTTCAGTACATGGCTTTCCAAGGTTAACATGGATGTTGACAACTGCTTGTTAGTGGGATGGGACAAGTTGAGGGAATGAATGGAGAATCATGCAGGGAGTTTTTATAGATCAAGCCTGGAAACAACTATATAACTTTTATCCACACTCCATTGCCTTGAACTCATGCATATGACCCCATCTGGCAGCAAAGGGGCTGGCAAATGTGGTCTACTATGTGCCCAAGAAGAAAGGAAATGGATCTGTTAAATAAGTAGCCAGTCTCTATTACAAGTGCTCTGTAAGTACATCTTTACTGGCTACTAAAATCCATGTTCAGCTTTTATGTAACCATTACTGTTTGACTTCATTGTTCAGTGGCTCCAGCAGTACCATCCTGTGAAGTACCCACTTCTGCTCTGAGTGGAACTGTGGTAGAGCTACGATGTCAAGATAAGGAAGGGATTCCAGCTCCTGAATATACATGGTTTAAGGATGGTAACCGTTTACTAGGAAATCCAAAACTTGGCTCCCAAAGCAGCAACAGCTCATATACAATGAATACAAAATCTGGAACTCTGGTAAGATCTTTTCAAGTATTGGTCTAATAACCACCTGACATCTGGATAAAAATATTATTAGAACTTAAGATGTTGGAATATGCTAGTCAGCCTTTTGTTTCTGTGACCAGAATATCCAAAAAGAAAACCTTAGAGGAGGAAAAGTTTATTTTGGCTCAGTTTCAGAGGTTGGGAACATGGTTGGTAACTTCATTGTTGTAGGACCAAGGTGAAGCAGAACATCATGGTGGAAGGGCAGCAGTGGAGGAAAGCCACTCAGCTCATGGTATTCAGGAAATGAGGACTGGCGGGGGAGGACAGGCAGTGGGAAAATGAACCCTTCAAGGTGTTCCTCTAGCTACCCACCTCCTCTGTCCATGCCCCACCTGCCTCAGGTGAACTACTGAACTACTACCTAGTTAGTCCATTCAAACTAGGATGGACTGTTTAGGTTACAGCTCTCTCAGTCCAGTCACTTCACCTTCTGCATTAACACAGATACTTTTGGGGAACACCTTATCGCCAAACCATAACAGGAAGAGTAGAAGACTGATACCATTGCTTGCTAAGTGGAGAGAAGAAAGGGTAGCAGAGAAGATGATGATGGTACCTGTACCAAGAAGTGATGGAAAGAACTGCTATGTGAGACGAGAAGACAGTACAGGGAACCGGGAGTTGAGCACACAAGTGACCTGAGGCAGGCAAATACTGCTTTCTGATGATACACCCAGCAGTTCTTTATAGCTATCTTTCTGGCCTGAAAAGTTACTAAGGGCAGTTGCAATATACAACACTAGGGCAATGAACTAAAGCTCACTTGGGGATACCCTGACCCTGCGCTAACCTTGTAAAAACAGTGACCACAGTTAGCCCATGGTAGGACGTGTGCATCATTAAAATTTTCCATGACTCTAGCTCATCAGCAGTGTCTCTGTAACTTAGTTATCTATTACTTTGTTTAGTCCCCAGATTTTTTGATTGTTTCCTCCTTGAAAAGATTCTAATTGAAAGATCTTTCTAGGGTTCCTGATGAGAATCTATAAGTAATCCCTTAATGCTCATGAAATTTAAAATAAAGAGCATTTTTACTTTTTTTGTGTGACTTGAGGCTAGTGGTAGGAAAGAAGAAAGGTCATTGAGCCAGGTGAAGTGGCGCACATGGTGGTTTAGCTACTCCAGAAGCTGAGGCAGGAGGATTTCATATTCAAGGCCATCTTGGGTACCTGTCTCAAAATAAAACTTAAAAGTCTGGGGATGTAATTCAGTGATAGAGTGCTTCCTAGCTTGTGCACAGCTCTGGGTTTAATCCCCAAGTACCACCAAAAAGAAAAAAAAAAAAGTCAATGAGCTTGAAATATTTTTCCAATCAAAATAATAATATATGTCAATTTTAAAATGTCTAATTTCTAGCAACACAGGATCACTACAAGCACCAATATCAAAACGAAACAAACAAATAAAAGGGAAAAAAAACACAAAAACAAAACCTTAAAGGAGAGGTAATAATAACAATTTTGTGAATTTTGAAGACAGCATGTAAAGTGTCTTTCATTCCTTCTACCTAGTAGCACACAATAACATTTAAAAACTAGATCTTCTGATACATAAACCAATTTGATGCAGTAGCTAAATAATAAAGTATATCAGTAGATGCGGCCACTGCTTGAAAAAGGCCCTGCTTTGGCCCTTTCAGCAGTCAGCAGGTCCCAGCGATTTTACACTGAGAAACTGGGCAGAAAACCTGTGGTCACACTGTGCTATATTTACATTTCAAATTTGTTTTTTCTCAGAGCAGGTGATAAAAGCCCCAAGGCAAGTCTGAAATGATATAGATTCACTTTTCTCAGGGAGCCTGAACCCTTGAAATATCCTATGAGGCCAAACGAGAGCCCTGGCTTGAACTAGGATGGCCTCTTTTGTGAGAAACAAAGACTCCAGTGTACAGATGCCAGTGACTTCCTTTTATGTACCAGTAATAGGCTGGAAGATCATTTGGGGTTTTAGTCTACCTTATTATTTATCCATTGCCATGGCCTTGAGTTTATGGAGAAGATTCTAAAAGGATTCTGGCTTTCTGGGGATGGAGAGATGATTCTGAAAACAGGCCTGGGAAGGCTTTCTGTTCCACCATACTGAAGTACTCTTAAAAAAAAAAAAAAAGGACATAGGAAGTAGGTAAAGAAATGTGAAAAAGGAAAGGTGTTAACAGATCAAAGCCCTGGCTAACTTAGGAAAATATGTTCCAGAAAGATCCAAGACAATGGGGAGGTGCTCCTCAAAGGTTCATGGCTCCCAGGGCTGAGGTCAGCAATGACCTCTGCAGTACTGAGCATATGACCAGGAGGGTCCTGAAAGAATAATTCTGAGTACCCCCACACCCTCTGAAGGGGTCCTGGCAAGGTCCTTTAAGGTGTTCAGGACCTCCTTCCCTCTCTCTCCCCTTCCCTTTTTCTTTCCCTCCTTCGCTCCTCCCTTCCCTTCCTTCCTTCTTGTTTGCTTTCAATTCTTTCCAGAAATTCCCCAAGGCTACAAACTCCAAATCATTAAGTCTATCATATAAAGGTCTTACCTTTCAGTTGCTTTGGTAGGAAGTAGAAGGAGCAAGGTCTGGACCTTATCTTTACAGAATTTTCAAGACTTCTGCAATTGTTAGAATTTATAATCCTGTGAACAGCACCATGAAGATTTCCTAGGCCTTGAGCTACTTCCTGGTGGTAACTCTGGCTCTTCAGAGTAAATATTCATTATTTTCTGCTACAGTGAATTTGCTTTTGAGTTAGAAAGTACATTGACAGAGAGGCCATCATTGGTAAGTGGTGCTTCCCAGGAATTAGAAATGCTACTGTTGGATGCTGTAAACTTTTAAAAATGCCCACTGCCTTCTTAAACAAACTGCTTTCTTTGTATGACAAAAGAAAGCAAACAGAACAAAAACTTCCTCATATATATTTAAATCTTCTTCTGTCAAATTAAACAGGAGGTTTAGCTATTTACTCCTTGAAGTTATGGTAGATTTTTGAATCCACAATAAAAATGTAAAGTTTTGAGTCATTAAAAAGGAAAGACTAGCTTAATGATAAATCCAAGGCACGTGGTTGTTAAGAGCCTACTTTGAGATTTGTACTTTTAAAGTATATATTTATTTTTTTCCCTTCCACAAATAGCAATTTAACACTGTTTCCAAGCTCGACAGTGGAGAATACTTCTGTGAAGCCCGAAATTCTGTTGGATATAGCAGGTGTCCTGGGAAACGAATGCAAGTAGGTAAGCATGAGATATTGGAAGAGGAAATGGTTTGCAGTTACAGAGTGCCAGTGGGGGTAGAAGGAGCAAAGGGTAAGAAAGGGTTGAGTTATTTGAGAGATAAGTAGGTAGTAAAGTTGAAAATTATCTTGATATAGCAAAGAAGCAGAAATGCTATTTTTAATCTGTCTTCCAATCAAGCCAAGAATATTCAGCATTATATTTAACAAATGTTTTAATTTTTCAAGTAAATGGTTTTAAAATACACTTTTCTGAGTAATCTTTCAAACAAAAGCTAAGTGTCTTATAAACTGTAAATTGCTGTGGATCCAGGAGTCTGTATGGGAGTTCATTTTACAGCTCTGCCACTTATTAGCTGACTCCTCTTAAGCAAGTTATTCGACCTTTATGCTTCGTTTCCCAAAAATGGAAGTAGTAATATATCTTCTTCACAGTGCTGCTATGAAGATTAAAGTACTCCGTGTTTGAAAGTGTTAGAACAGTGCTTGCACACTGTGAGCATTATATAAGTTTCAGCTATGTTAAAGAGTTGTTGATAATTTTTTCTAATTATATACATGGCAGAGTAGTCTCTCTAAAAAGACGTGGAATACCTAAAGACCTACGTTGCTATAAAACATAACTGCCACACAAATGCTACATATCACAAAATAACTTTTAATTTTAGAGTTCAATAAATTAGCACTTAATAATCTTTTCTAAGTAATATAAGTTTCAAAACACATTATTTTTTAAAATTTAATTTTCAATATTTTGACTTAGTTCTTCCTTGTAGTAGGAGCCAGTGTTTTGAGGGCCTAGGGTTGTGGCTCAGTGGTAGAATGCTAGTGTGGATGAGGCACTGGGTTCAATCCGCAGCACCACATAAAAACAAATAAATAAAAATAAAGGCACTGTGTCCACCTACAAATAAAAATATATATATTTAAAAAAACAGCCAGTGTTTTGAATATAGTTGTGTGATGAAGGGATATTCTAGAACTGGCACCAAGGGGTTAAAGTTCACTCAGGATGGCTGCACCCTAAAACAGAATATTGAGGGTCAGCCTGGTTGCAGGAACTTGTCCTCAACTTTATGGAGCAGAAATTCACTTTTTCAGTGAATATAGATCACTGCAGATATGGGGATGCACGAATTTAAAAGTTTGTTTCCCCGGTTACTGATTTCATTTGTACATGATTTCTATGCATCTTTTCTTTCTAGGTGTGAGTTAGCTTAAATGTTAAAATTAGTTTGTTTAATGCTCATTCATTGAGCCTCAGTATTTCACAACTTTGGTTTATTAATTTTCTTCTTCTGAAATACATATAAATTCATTTTCTTCATGACATACCACTGGTATTTTGTAATGAAAACCAGAATCTGTTAACTCTCTTAAAGAAATTCTTTTTGAAGCATAGAAGGAAAATCAAACATGGATTTGCTGATCATTCCCAGACTGGTTTATTGTACAGCTTCCTCCTTGGCCTTTTAGCAGCAGTCTGGTTCCTTTCAGTGAGAATAATAACACCTTCCTTTAATGGTGGCCTTCTTCTTTTTAAAATTCTTTTTTTTTTTTCAGAGAAAGAATACAAAAATATTTTCAAGAATACAAAAATATTTATTGCTACATTTTCTCTTCACTGAGTTGTATGACTTGCTCAATATCTCACAGAAAATAGCTATTGGATGAAAACAGCTTACCTCTAACTTACTACTCTTCTATCTTCCATTCCATTGAAGAAAACAACTTAAAGTCCACTGCATGATTTAGCACTTACAGGCTAAGAGGATTTTTTGTCAGAATTTTGCTTTTAAGGTTAATCTTTCATAGATGTCAAATTCATTGCAAACTAAAAGGATTTGTTTTTGTAATAGCCATTAGACTTGAATACTTTGTAGATGTCAAATTTATTGGCTACTATAAAAAATAGTAGGCACAGTTTGGTTCTCAGGAATTCATTTAGCTATTGACTTAATTTTACCTTAATTCTGATTACTGTGGATTTTTGGCCCTCTTTTCTGTTTTTTAATCAAGTAAATAAATAGCAGAATTTCATTGAACTTGACCTCTCAGTGGCCAACCAAATATGAACTGAATCTATACCAAGTAATAATTGGTGTTTTTTACTCTGGTCAAATTAGCCTTTTGGAAGATTCATCAATCATGTCTCCTGCTTAGAAAAAAAAAAAATTAAGGGCTTGAGGTACAGCTCAGTCAGTGGTACAGCACTTTGCTTAGCATGCGCGAGGTCTCTTGGGTTTGAGCCTCAATGTTGGGCAAGGGGTGTAACTCTTTAGGAATCGCTTCTTTAATAAATGCAAAAAAAATGTATTTGAATAACAAGAGTGTGAGTCATGAAATTCCTGTAGTCAGGATGGAAAAATGTGAAGTAATAATGTTAGGATTTATACATTCCTTGAATCACACATTCCAGGCATACTGGTAAATTGTGGTATATGAAGGAAGGTATCTATAAATATGTTACATTGTTAAGGAACAGTTATGTTCATCATTTTAGTAATGACTTGAATAAAGGGTATCTTTGATACAGTGTCCAATTTGCAGAAGTATTAAGCTTGGAAGTTTAATAATTTAATTATTGGGTGATAGAATCAATCCAGAAAAAAAAACTCATAAGTTTGTAACATGGTAGCAATTCCAAACTTGAGTCCAAAAAAATCTACTTGTATTAGGATAGAGAAGAGTTAACTTTATAGCAAAGAGAAAAGTGTGTTTGCTTCATTGAGTTTAATTTATTTTAAACTCCATGGGATAACAATTTAGTGTACATATGTATGTGATACACATGTACATACAACACAACCAGACAATTCAAGAAGGAAGGTCTTTCTGACAGTTTTATAGAAGAGCAGTGGCATCTGCTCTCTTGGAGTTTTTCATTATTTGTGAAATTGACACATAGGATGATATAGAAGAATTTAAAGTAAAATTTGTGGCAGAGGAGCCACAATAGAATATTTCAAATCATCCAACTTCAAAGATTGCTTCTATTGTGTGCAATGTATGAATATGTAACAACAAACTCATTATGTACAATTATAATGAACCAATAAAAATATGGAAAAAGATAGTTTCTAACCTGATATTTAACTCTGAATTACTGCATTTCCAAATGAATGCAAAAGAATGTCATACATTCTCTTTCTTGACCATAGGACTTTTTAAAATTTAAGACTCTTGCAAAACTTAGTTCTGTCAACATTTTCAATCAGTTTTGTGCTATGCCTTGGAATTGTTGAACGGGCTTCAAAGTCTTGAAAATATGCTTTTTAGCATAGCTGCAAAGTGGAGTTTGTTGAGTCCTTTCAACTTAATGATGAAGTCTGTCCATCTATGTGATGTGAATTTATGCATGGTATATTTCACTTCCAGATGATCTCAACATAAGTGGCATCATAGCAGCTGTAGTAGTTGTGGCCTTAGTGATTTCTGTGTGTGGCCTTGGTGTGTGCTATGCTCAGAGAAAAGGCTACTTTTCAAGTAAGTGAATTTCACCCTTCTTTGATACACAGTTTCCTTTGGATATAGTCTTATGAGATGCTGTTTCTTCTAAAAAGTCCTAACAAACTGGAGAATATTTTTTTCACTGATTTTCTGCTATAGAAGATGCTCAAGGTAATATGCAGGTGGGTTGTGAAGCATCTTGGAGAAAAAAGAACAAAGCAGTCATTTGCAAAATTCTAAGCAACACCATAGCATGTGTGAGTGGTATCCTTGGAGTGGCATAGTGTAGAGACAGACATTCAATATAGATTGTGGTATATTTATGTGCATGCTAGGCCCTCTTATTTTAAATTAGGAATTGAGTATTTCAATTTTTACAAGAAATTTTATTGAAATAAACCAGAGAACTATTTTATCAGTGTTGAACAGTGAAATGTTGAATGTCAAGTTTAGCACAACTGTAGAAGATCATTGTTTAATCAAAACTAGAAACCGACAGTATTGGAGACACTTCCATACAAGGTTTTTAGTTCAAGTTAAACTTGAAGAAAGTTGTAACTTCAGCACCCATTTGATGATAGAATAGTGGGTGATATTGAAAAATAATGTTTTATTCTCCTAATATATTTCTTTATTTCCAGTCTTTAAAATCATCTCAAAACTGTAGAACTCCATTAGGTCCTTTGGCAATAGTGTATAAGTTGAATCTTTAAATGGAATAATAAATAAATTCATAGCATGAATAAATATTAGACCCACTATTTTATAAAGAGCATTAATTTTAGAATACGGGTTTAAAAATAATTTATACCAAAATAAAAATTAAATTTAAAAGGAGTTTTAAATAATATTTATAAATAGATATTAAATGTAATAAAGTATTTCCATAAACATGGATTCAAGGACATTCCTATAAATAAGAACAATTGTTCTGTGAACTAATAGTATTATTCTTGTTTATACTGCTTCAATTTAATCCCGCATAATGTAATTTTATGAATGGACTCTAACCGAGTCCCCCTGCTGGTCACCAGTGAAAGTACTGCAAATAAGATTACTTATTCAAAATTCTTGTAGTCTGTATTTATACTTGCAATTAATATCTGTATAAGTATTTTTTTAAAAAATTTTCATTGTAGATAGACATAATACTTTTATTTTATTTATTTATATGTGGTGCTGAGGATCTAATCCAGTACCTCATACATGTGCTCTACCACTGAGCCACAACCCTAGACCCTGTATGAGTATTTTTTTTATTTGTTTATATGAGTATTTTTAATGAGGAGTTGGCAAACAAATTTTTCTTCAAATACTGAATTAAAGAGTTAATTTGTATATTAAGGGTTATTAGCTAATAATGTCATTCACTTTTTCATCTGGGAGAAAACCTACCTAAGAGAACCATACTCTTGAACTTGTGTTTAGGACAGAAGTTGGCAAATTTTGACCCAGAGACAAATCTGGCCCCCCACCTGATTTTCTGAGGCCCCAAAACTTTTAAAGATAAATTTTGCAATTACTTAATGATAGGAAACACTAACTTGAATCCTAATTAAGAGAAATGTTATCCCTCACAATGAGTTCTATTCTTCCAACTATTAGGACTTGTATTATAAAACTTTATTATTATACTTTAAATTTAATCAATAAAAATTTGGAAATTTATTTTCTTTCTTGTTTTATAAGTACCTAAATAGTATCCTTACTTTTGCCTCTGGGACAACATAGCCTAAAATATTTGCTGAAAGTTTGCCAACCCTTGATTTAGAAGGTACAAATGTCAGCAAGTGAGGATTGAGATTAAAAAGACATTAAGCAAAACTTGTATTTAAATAAATCTGTCATCCCATATTAATTCTTGCATTAATGATTTATATACTTATTCTTTTTGTAGAAGAAACTTCCTTCCAGTAAGTATATTTTCTTAAAATGCATGCCTCTCCCTATATCCACTGTTATTCTATTATTTATCTGTTTACAGTCAAGAGTGGGATATTGGGTTATTTCTGTAGGTGTATTTCTAGGGAGTTTCTCATATATGTCAAGAATACATTCTGCCTCATGCCTCATGCCTTTTTGAAAATGATGAGTAATTACCAGGAGAAGAATCATGGGCATTAATTTGACATTATAAGCATTCCCTTAGTACTATTTTAAAATATATATAT